TTTGTATGCTGAGCACTTGTAATCCTAGCTCCTGAGGAGTCTGAGAACTGAGGATCGTAGTTCAAAGCCAGCCCAGGCAGGAAAGTCCATGAGACTCTGACCTCCAATTAACTACCAGAAAACTGGAAGTGGCGCAGTGGCTCAAAGTGGTAGCGCGCTAGTCTTGAGCAAAATTGCTCTAGGACAAAGCCCAGGCCCTGAGTACAAGCTTCATGACCATCAATAAATAAATAAATGAGTGTCAGTTCCCGGTGGTGGTGACGGCCATCACCACCGCCCTCTTCATCCTAGAGAGGGCAGCGGGGAGCTGGTGGGTCTGTAACTGCTGTCACAAGAACGACTGAATGGGACCCACTATGGAAGCCAGACAGCGAGCAAGAAGGGAGTGTGCCATACTCAGCTTTACTTTGCATATGCTGAGAATGAACCTCAGTGGTTTGTAAGATGCCCCTGGTGGGGCTCCCCCAGAGAGGACTATCTGGGAAAGCTGGTGTCACAAGCAGCCTGGCTAGAGTGCCCACGCGGCTTCCTAGTCCTGGCCACATGGGTACTGCGGGGTCACTGGTGGTAAAACCGAGCCTCTGTCCTCTACCAACCCTTCACAGTCACTTGCTTGATCCCACCCCACCCCAAACACCATCCTGCATTAGCAGCCTGGTCTCCAGGGTCACCCTCGTTGGACCCTAGCAGGGGTCTGAACTTGGCCGTTTCCCCTGACCCTGGCCACCGTGCCTGGCACGATGGAGAATGGTTTCATGAGCCCCAGTTGCCATGCAGAAGATCTGTCAGTGGCCCAGGCTGTGCCGTGACAAGCAGGTGGCTTCTCCCTGGTTTCCTTCTCTGTGGAAGAGGCTGGCAAGCCGGGCCCCGAGGCCTGGGAAGAACTCTGGGCCTCCAGGTGGAACCACACCCCTGGCCTTCGGAGCTCCCAGGGCCCTGGCATGCCTTGTTTGTGCAGAACAATGACAAGCTATGGCTGTCTCCCAGAGAGCCCAGGAAGCAGAGCGAACTGCCACAGGAAGGAACAAGAAGCCCCCAGCCTTACTGTCTCCCCGGGAGGGGGGTGCAGCTGCCAGAGTCCCTAAGTGGTCTCCGCATGGTCCTCTGTGGGATAAGCCACCCGTTCTGCAGGGAATTTCTGGCCATTTACCTACTCCCTGCTCGAGCCTCTATACCCTTTTGCCTGTGCCCAGCCTGTTCTCTGCCAGGAAGGACTGACTCTCCATCCAGCCAGCTGCTTTTATTCAGTCAAGAGCTCTACCCAGGCGCTGGGAAGATGGCTCAGTGGTAGAGTGCTTGCCTTGTTGCATGAAGCCCTGAGTTCAATTCCTCAGCACCATATAAGTAGAAAAAGCCAGATGTGGCGCTGTGGCTCAAGGGGTCGAGCGCTAGCCTTGAGCTGAAGAGCTGAGGGACAGCGTCCAGGCCCAGAGTTCAAGCCCCACGACCAATTAAAAAAAAAAGCTCTACCCAAACATTATCTCTTTCCAGTCTCCCCCAACTTTTCCAGACAATGCCTACCTCCACTATAGCTCCCCCTGAGACTTAGCCAAACCGCTGGTCAAACAGGCACGTATTCTTTCACAGACACCCCTCTAATAACTCCTTAGTCCCATTTGACAGAAGGAAATACTGGGGCTCAGCATGGCTGAGTGCCTTGCCCAAACCTCTTTGGCGTGGAGATCTTAGAATGCTTAGAGAATCCCCTGCTTCAAACCCACTTTAGGGAGAGGGACACATGGCAGGGTGGGGAGTGGCCATGAGGGCCAGCCTGGCCCCTTCAGACTGCCTAGTTCTTTCTGGGCCTGGCGATGGGTCTCAAGGTCAGAGGACCTCCAGCTTCACTCCAAATTCACAGAGGTCCAGACAGGTCCCCGGAGCTGTGGTGGGCAGTGATAAATGACAGCGCTTTTCCCCTCCCATTCGTCAGGGTCCAGGAACTCTGGCCTATCCTGGCTTCCTCAGGCTGCTTCCCTGTTGACTGACAGCTCGCTGACTTTCATTTCACCTTTGCCCTCTCTGGGTCTCATTGTTCACCAGCCTCAGGTTCCTCTGCTTAGTCCCTTGGTTTTTTGGAGCCTCGGCCTCTGAGTCTGTCTCAGGGCCTCCCTCCATCTCCAAGTCTCCTTCTCTGCCTTGCTGTCTCTCCCTACGCCTGCCGCGGTCTCTTTATCTCTGTCTCTGTCATTTTGTCTCATGGCCTCTTCACCATCTCTGCTACTCCAGTCCTTTCTCTTTGCCATCTGTCTGTCTGCCTCTCTAGCAGTGCCCCCTTTCTGTCTCTGCCTTCCAGGCATGGTCTCTCTCTGAATCTGTGTGTCTTTCCTTTACCACAAAGTCAGGCCTGGTCTCTCTCTGAATCTGTATGTCTTTCCTCCACCACAGAGTCCCCATCTCTGGCCCAACGTCAGACCTGCTTTCTAAACCTGCTCCTGTGCAGGGGGGGCGTGGGACCCTCGGGCCTCATTCCCGGGCCCTTTCTATCTGGGTGGCGGTGCTGACAGACAAGATAGCGATCAGCTTTGGCTCTGCCCGGGCCTGAGCAAGGGGCACAGCCAGGCTACGCGGGGGCGTCTGGGTGCTGCAAACGTTTGTGTGTGCGCACGTCTGGGTTTGTGTGTGCTGGGCTCCCTGTGTGTGTGGGGTGGTCTGCATGTCTGTCTTGGTCTATTAGTGAGTGTCTGGGCCTGTTTACGTCTGTCTGCGAGCATCCGGTTTGTGTGTTTTTGTGGCGCTGTCTAGGCGTGAGCAGTAGATAGCCTGTGGGTCTTCCCCTCCACCATGCCTTGTTCATATACATGTACCAGTGTGTGTGTGTCCCCTGAGATCATCAGAGTCCCTGTGGATCTGGGTGTCTTTCCAGGGGCCAAGCCACATCCTTTTGTGGTCATGAATAAGACCCCACTGCCCTCATTGCACAGGTCAGAAAACAGACTTTTCGGCCCCTTGCTCAAATGACTGCCTGTGGATGCGCATCAGCTTAAGCCTGGAGTCCGGTGGCTGATGGCAGAACCCTAGGCACCTTCGCTCATCACCACCTTTGCTCATGAATCTCCTCAGTTCATTCAGCCAACGTGCATTGATCAAAATCAGGTCAACCGAAGGAGGACCCTCTGAGGGAAGGAACACAAAGGCAAAGGCCTAAGTGCCTCTAATCACGTACAATAATATTTATCAAAATGAATTCCAGGAAATGGAAACAAGAAAAAAAATCAGGTAAAACTACCCTGTCATGTGAGAGGCTAGAACAGCAGCTATGGTTGAGGGGCTGGACAGGGATTTGGGGGGGGGGGTGGCTCAGCTGCTGTACCCTCTCAGGTCTTAATGTAGGTGGCAGTGTCCTGAATATTTGCTTCAAGTTTGTTCACGTTATACATTAATATGAAACGTAACCAACAGTGGACTGGGCTTACTATTTGCTAGATTTACTAGGCCAAAAATAGCAAGGGGTGTGTGTGTGTGTGTGTGTGTGTGTGTGTGTGTGTGTGTGTGTGTCTTTTTAAAGACATTTCAAAACGTGAATCAGCCCAGGCCTTCAGCACTTCATGCATTCCAACCCCACCTGCTCCCTTTACCCTGTTAACCGAGACAGCAGAATGAAAGAAAGACCCCAAATCTGAAGAGGAATATTCTACCCAACCTTGCCTCATTGTTTCCTCAGGGTTTGAACTCGGGGCCTCATGCTTGCTAGGTGAGCACTCTATCTCTGAACCACACCTCCACGCCTGGCTGGTTTCTCTTCAAGAAGAAATTAAGACTCTCCCTCTGGAACATCGTTTTCCTAGTCTATGGGTCCTGAGGGCTTGGAGGTGGGTAACTGCTGGTATTTAAAGCATCCTCCACAGCAGGGCTTAGAGCAAGGGGAGGAAGATGACCAGACACCTTACCTGCTGGAGGCATTCAGCATGCCTGGATACATACAGGCCTGATCTCCACATGTGGAGTCACTTCTTTTTTTAAATAAAAGGCAGAGACCCTACCACAAGCAATGTCTTCTGCTGAGCCCTTACCATATTGCTTCTCCCTCACTACAACTCCAGTGGAAGGAAGCCCATTGCTTTCATCTCACAATTGAGGAAACTGAGGTCCGAAGGAGTCATATGATTTCCCTTGGCTCCTAAGGCTCAATAAGCAGGAATTCCAGCCTCCCTCTACCGGGCTCCAAACTGCCATCCTCCTGGGTTGCTAAGGTTCCCTGAAGTGTTAGTAAGGAAACTAAATTCATTTGCTTTTTTAAAAATTCTCTTGGGAAAACTTAAAAGTTCTGCGTCATTAAGAAAGCTGGGACTTGGGGTGGGAGAGCACAGAAATGGAGGGACAGAGGGTGAACAAATGCAGCAGCAATAAGTCACTAGACACTATGTTGAAAATGAACTATACAATGTGTGGGTGGGGACAGGAGGCATAAAACTGGGAGAGAGCAAGGAAATGGGTGATATCATCCAAAAAAAGAAATGTATTCTACCTGATTTATGAAACTGTCACCCCTCTGTACATCACCTTTATAATAACAATTAAAAAATTAAAAAAAAACAACACTGGAACTTAGGCTGTGCTTGAGTGACAATGCATTCACTTCTCAAAGGGGAGAAATGCAGGTGGGGGAGGGGTGGGCGCTCCTTCCTCACTGGATGATGCCCTTCCGGGAGGTGCAGGTGCACATGGGAGAGGCATGTGGTCCCCCAACACCATGGAACACATGCACAGGACCTGCTCATTAAATATTTGGAGAAACAAGTGCAAAAACCAATGGTACCTTGCCTGTATATCCTCCACCCCCACGAAGACCTTGTCTGTACTCTCTGCTCTCAATCCCAGATAGAAGCTTCCAGATGTTTCTGGATTCCCACACAACTAGTCCCAAAGCCTGATGCACAGAAAGGGGGTCCCCTCATAAATACTGGCTAAATATGATGATGATTCTGGAAGTTACCTCTGGACCAGAAAACTCCAGTCCTGTGAGAATCACAGCCAGTGAAAACAGCGACAGCACCAAGTTGTTTCAATAAGTGGTTTTATTATTGGTTAGATTTTACAAATTCTGATATTCGAACAGACTTCCACCTTAAAATTCTAAAACAACAAAGCAACCGTTGGAGGGTTTTTTTTTCCTTTGTTTTTTTTTTTTCAGGACTATTCAAAGTAACAAACTTTTTTTGTTATTTTTTGTTTGTTTGTTTTTTTACATTTTTGCTCTGGTCATAAATATACAGAGAGAAAAAGAGGGAGAGAAAAAAAATGAACAAGTTGTCCAAAGTATGGAGATAAAACAGTAATCCTAAGGCACGTAGCAGTCTTTAAAAATACAGAAGCTCTAGCCGACTTAAATTATTTGTTGTTTCTCCTCGCTCAGTCCATAAACTGTACATGGACACAAATGTTGTGTTTGCAGATAGATCTTCCAAGTAATTCATTCCTCAAAATTCACACCGCTGGGATAGCTGGATGCACAATTATTTCATTTTACTTTTTTTTTCCTCTGTTTTTTTTTTTTTCCAGGCGAGATCCTAAAAATGTGGTTAGTTGCTCAAAGCCTCTATTTTAAAATACACTTGGAATTCAAACTAAAGATAATTTCTTTTTTAAAGAAATCATGGAGCTGGGGTTGGGAAGGGTTGGGGGGATAACGGGAGCGCCAGTCATTAGAAAAGGTTGGTAAGAGTCGTTTGTGAGGGGCTGTGGGGCTCGTGACCCTCCAGATTGCCAGGCACAGAAGTTAAGACAGACGTCACAGTCGGCAGAGCGGGGCTAGTCAAGTCTGTGAGGGTGGTGGGCGTGCTGGAGGGGCTGAGCGAGGCGTTGGACAGCTCGGAGGCCGGCCCCGATGGTGTCCCTGTCTGCAATGCTGCGTCTGTCGTCTTGTCCACGCCCGTGTTTTCCTGCCGTAAAAGGTTTCGCCTGAACTTGGCCCGGGCGTTCTGAAACCAGACCTGCGTGGGTTGACAGGGAGGGAAGGGCTGTTTAAGGAAAGGCTGGCACCAACTGGAGCCCAGCCTGCTTAAGCTGCCGTGCTGCCTGGATGCGAAGCCACCTCCTCTGGCCCAAGGGGGGAGGGGGGCCAGAGAGTCAGGTGTCATCACATGTTGTCCTGGATCAAGTAAAATAACAATTTCCATTTGCTCAAACTGGTGATTACTGGGTTCCTCTTACTGCTAGGAGTTTCTAACTCATTCTGAAATATTGATACAGAGGCCTTGAAACGTCACTAACCAGATGTGGCTGATCTACTGGGAAAAAAATACCTGACAGACTTGAAGATTTAACCAGGAAAAAAAAAAAGGTAAACTATTTTTATTAGCAAATTTTTTTTTTACTTATTTCACGTTGAAGAGATCGTATTTTGGATGTGTTGGGTTAAACAAAATAATATTATTTAACTTAATTTCACCTGTTTCTTTTTTACGTCTAGAAATTTGAAAATTTAAATAAGTGGCTCATGTCGCATTTCTGCTGGACAGAGCCAACACACCAATTAAATCTTCACCATTTTTCAATGTCTGGAAAACACTAGAACGAAAAGCAAGAGAAACAGGAGACAGCCAATAAGGAGTAAGAGAGTAATAAGGAGTCACTAAGGGGAAGAAAATCAGTGAGGCCGCTACCTCTTATTCAGCTGGAGAGGCCACAGGCTCTCCTGGACCACTGGGATTCAAGTATCAAGGCAGGCAGACATGGGGGGTCAGATGGGTAGACCCCTCCCAGCCCACCACAACTGGACATCCATGTAGGAAGGAGGTGGAGCAAGGCTTTGAACAACAGAGGCGGGTAAGACAGACTGCAGGCTTACTTTCCTTTCTCCTTGGTTCCATCCAACCTGTACCTTCACCCACATCTGTACAGTACCCATCCCTCATCCATCCTACCCTGCCAACACAAGTCAGCCTACTGTGCTCTGAGGCCCATGTGGTACCTTAGGGGAGGCCCAGGAAACCCAAGCCAATGTGGGGGTGGAGGGGTTGTGCTTTGCAAATTCAGGGCCCCTTCCCTTTTCTCTGCACAAAGGAAATGCCTGCCAGAAGCCTCCCCATAAAACAAAAGGCCTTGGGGAACTCTAAACTGGCAACTGAGGTGTCCAGTTGTATATTTCCAGATGTGTCTGCATCTGTCTGTCTTCTTAGTGTCTCAGGCAGGGGTGAGATGGGCCTTCCTCCTTCTTCTGGGACCACCCCAGCTGCAAAGGGCCTATGGCCTCAAGCCCTCCACTTCCCCTTTTCAGTTTTCCTGACTCAATTAGAAGCACAGTCACAAGTCCTGGAGTGCAGTGGGGAATGAAGCCTTCTCCCCGGCACACTGGATCCTTCTAGGATCCTTCTAGGAAGAAGGCACGTTTGTCCCTGGTACTCTATCTGAAGCAAGCCCACCACCCCTTCTGACCCCAGCAGGGTCAGCAGGTCCTTCTCTGCTAGGCCAAGAGAAGACAGTATCCATCTTGGCTCAGACAATGGCTGCTGGAGAAGAAGATGGATGTTGAAAGCCCCCCAGAGATGCCCAGAGAGGAAGTGATGTCTTCATAATTCTATGCAGGCCAATAATGAGAAAGGCCTTGGTGCCAACCCCTGGCCACTGTCCTGACCTTTGTGCACATGGCCCTCCATTAGTACCAGGGGTAGGGAGCCCTGGGAGGGGACCTGCTGTTCTTCAGGGACTCCGGGTCTTTGGGAAGGGCTGGAAGCTGCTGGCTGCCAGCTGTTAGCTGTTTCTCAGAGTTGCCCTAACAGTGCATGTGTAAACAATGACACTATCTTCCATGGCCATCTGCTTGGCCTGGTGGAATCCAGGGCACTGGAAATCTGGGATATAAAAATCCAGGATTCAGCTGGGTGCTAGTGGCTCACTCCTGTAAAATTAACTACTCAAGAGGCTGAGATCTAAGGATCGCAGCTCGAAGCCAGCCTGGGCAGAAAAGTCCCCGTGAGACTCTTATCTCCAATTAACCACTCAAACACTAGAAGTGAAGCCGGGCGCGAATGGCTCATGCCTGTAATCCTAGCTATTCAAGAGGCTGAGATCTGAGGATCTCGGTTCAAAGCCAGCCCGGGCAGGAAAGTCCATGAAATTCTTATCTCCAATAAACCACCAGAAAACCGGAAGTGGGGGAAGTGGTAGAGTGCTAGCCTTGAGCTCAAGAGCTGAGGGACAGCGCCCAGGCCCAGAGTTTAAGCCCCACGACAGACAAAAAAAAACAAAAACTAGAAGTGGCACTGTGGCTAAAGGGGTAGAGTGCTAGCCTTGAGCATAAAGAGGCTGAGGGACAGCACCTAGGCCCTGAGTTCAAGCCCTACAACTGACTGGAAAAAAAAATATCCAGTGATTCAAAGCCAGGCTGCTCTGGGGATGTGGTGGTTTGATTTTCAGCAAAATGTTCTCTTCGTGTTTCAAAAAAAATCCCTTCCTAAGAAGTGGTTGGGGGAGAGGCCCTGCCCAAGTCATTTTCATGATCCCAGGGATATGACAGATTGTGAACCAATTAAGAGTCAGGGTTTGGGAGAATGGCTCAAGTGGTAGAAACCTGCCTAGCAAGTGTTAGGTTCTGAGTTCAAATCCCAGTACCACCAAAAATGGATTGTGAGGCAGTGGTTGAGCGCATGGGAATGCTAAAATGTATGTTGCACCTTATATTGTCACACATGCTGCTGCCCTATAACCTGTGCTGTCCCCGGCTAACCCTGTGACCTAGCAATCATGTGGGTTCACACAGGATATCCACTTTGTAGATATCAAATTCAAAGAGGCCCCAGAGAAATATAGTCACTTGCCAAAGGTCTCACAGAAGTCAAGGTGTTTGGAATCCAGAAGTGTTTGTTATAAAACATCGAAGATCTCCCTACCACGTAACCCTGAAGAAGTCAGTACATAAGTGAATGAATGAATGAATGAGTGAATAACTGAATGAACAATCGAATCAATAAACCAGTAAGTGACTAGGTACACTGGAAAGGTCACTGCATATATCTTCTGGTCCCTGACTAGTCAAGTGACCTTGAGCTAGCCCCTTATGTCTTCACCTGCCTCAGTTTCCCCATATATGAAGAGAAAGAGGATTGACCCATGCATGCCACATGATGTCTATGACTTCTTAGGATGCATGGTAAGGAGGTGATGGCTCCACCTACCCATCTTCTCAGAGCCACAGCCCTCTCTGGTCAGCTGCCTCTCTCACTCAACTGCCTTCCACAGTGGTTCTGGAGCTGAGTGTTTAGGACAACAAGGCCAAGTTCAACACAGACTCATCAGATGGTGCAGAGTGGATCCTCAGTAAGTCCTGAGTGGATAAAAAGCGCCCTTGTGACTTGCCCCTCCTCAGCATCAGTTGTCTGTCCAAGCTTGTGTTTTGCTTGCAAACCTTTCCCAGAAAGGAGAAGCCCCAGAGCGGTGCCTCACACCTGAATTCCTGGCTACATGGGAAGCTGGCGAAAGAGTTCATGAGATCCTATCTCAACAACAACAAAAAGAGATAACCAGGCATGCTGGATTGTGTCTGCCATCTCAGCAAAATAGAAATATAAATAGGAGGATCACAGTCGATGCCAGCACAGGCAAAAAAGGAGAACCTATTGCAAAAATAACCAGGACAGTAAGAGTGAGGGGCATGGCTCAAGAAGTAGAGTACCTGTCTAGTAAGCACAAAGCCTTGAGTCCAAATCCTAGTCTTCCCTCCACCCCTGCCCCCCGCCAAAAAAAAAAGACCAAGATATTCACTGGGCCCATCAAATCTCTACCTGGCATGCTAAGGACACCAGCCAAAAGGTGACGCTTCCTGCTCAAAGATGTCCATAATAGCATTTGGGGGGAATGTCAGTCATGGGGCTTGAACTCTGGGCCTGGGCGCTGTCCCTCAGCTCTTCAGCCAGGAGAGTACTCTACCACTTGAGACACAGTACCACTTCTGGTATTCTGGTGGTTTATTGGAGATAAGAGTCTCATGGACTTTCTTGCCTGGATTGGCTTTTTTTGGGGGGGGGGGAGGGTCCGGTCGTGGGGCCTGAACTCTGGGCCTGGGCACTGTCCCTCAGCTCTTCAGCTCAAGGTTAGCGCTCTACCACTTAGCCACAGCGCCACTTCCGCCTTTTTTTTTTTTTTTTTGCTTGGTGCTGAGGAATTGAACCCAGGGCCTCATGCATGCAAGGCAAGCGTTCTACCACTGAGCCACCTTCCCAGCCCCCCTGCACTGAACCCCAATCCTCAGGGCTCATCCTCCTGAGTAGCAAGGATTATAGGCATGAGCCACCAGTGCTCACCCATTACAGATTTTTTTTTAAATCACATCAAACTAATGGCTACATCTAAAATATTCAATTAGATGGGATGAAAGAAAGCCTGGCACAGTCATACCAAGAAGCCTCAACAGAGGCATCTTATGATAACTTGCACAAGGCAGGAAAATGGCAGTTCATAAAGAAAATAATAAAGGCAAATGAGTGCCATTCATGGTCTAAGCAAAGCTCTGAGCATTGTAACATATTAATTCATTGACGCGTTATAACAATCCTATGATGTAGGCTACAAGTGTAGAGACAGAGGCCGAGCCAGTCGGAGGTGGACCTGAGATGCATATCCTGTGGGCTGGGTCCTGACCCTGGACCCTCACTCAACCTCTCCAAACTGCATACTTGAGTTCCAGGGTCTGTGCTCTTACACAGACACACACTCACGCCCATTTTGCTAACCCATCCTATGTCTGTTCTGTTACTCTGTAAACCTTTATTTCTCTAAGTTGTTCTCAAAGAACTAAAAGTGATAAGCACACAAGATTAGAAATCAGGAACCCTTAGTTCTAGCCCCAGGCCTATGACTGCTTTGGGTGAATCACTCTTAGCTCCTCTCCCCTAAAATGAGAGATTCAGGTCAAACGATCTAGAAAACACACGGCACAGTCCTGTGGAAATGGCAGGTAAGACAATGGCCATTTTACAGTGGGGAAACTGAGGCA